CACCAGCTTTGCAGTTCAAACTGACCTTGTAGTCCAGTGCTTATCCTACAGCAGTGCCACAAACAGAAGCTCCAAAAGTAGTCATGCGAAAACTGTTGGATTCCCCTCAATCTATATTCTTCCAGAACCTTTGATTTCTAGCTGGGCAAACAGACAGTGGTTACCAGCTACCATGGCAGCTAAGTCTGGACGAGAGGGTATAAGCAGGAGCATCTGTTGCAATGTCTAGGAAGTGTTCTTAGCCCCCTCGTTTCCCTTTCTTCTTCTAATTGAATGAAAAGCAGACATGACATCTGCAGCTTAAACAGCTATCTTGCATCATGAAGTACAAGTCACATGCTAAGGTTGTCTGAAGAGCTGGGGAAGAAAAGCCTGCACCCCTGATCAAGTGAAATTCCATGCCAGGCCTGAGCAGACCGTATACCTCTTTTATGTAAGCATAAAGTGAACTTTCATTCAAGCCATTATTATTTTAGATTTTCTGTCACATATGTTATTGTTGGTAGGTGCCATTGAGTCAGTTCCGACTCATAGCAGCCCTGTGCACAACAGAACAAAACCCTGCCTGGTCTTGTGCCAGCCTTACAACCATTGTTATGCTTGAGCCCATTGCTGCTGCCACTGTGCCAATCCATTTCACTAGGAGTCTTCATCTTTTTCCCTGACCCTCCACTTTACCAAGCACGATGTCCCTTCTCCAGGGACTGGTCCCTCCTGACAAGTTTGAAGTACAAGAGATAAAATCTCACTATCCTAGCATTTGACTGTACTACTTATAACACAGCTGTCTTTGTTCTTCTGGCAGTCCATGGTACTTTTAATATTCTTCTCCAACACCATAACTCAAACGTATCAATTCTTCTATGGTCTTCCTTATTCATTATCCAACTTTCATATGCCTATGAAGCTACTAAAAATACCACGGTTTGGATCAGACACACCTTAGCCCTCAACTTGACATCTTTGTTCTCGAAGAAGAGATCTTGAGTGCCAAATGCAGTATGTTATTTGATTTCTTAACTGCTGCTTCCATGAGCGTTGATAGTGAATCCAAACAAAATGAAGTCTTTGACAACTTCAAACTTTTCTCCATTTATCATAATGTTCTTTGTTGGTCCAGTGGTGAGGATTTCTGTCACACATAGCCAAATTTTATCACAACAAATCTAGCAACTGAAAGAAAACCCAGAAATCGGACAACCAACTAACTTGTTGAAGTAACATGGTAGAGTGATTAAGTACTGTGAGCACTGGAGCTAGAACACTTGGGTTCAAATTCTGCCTCTACAGCTTCGTCTCTATGACACCATGGCAGGCTGGCTAGACTTCCTGTGCCTCCATGAAATCATCTGTAAAACGTGCTCCTCGGAAGGCTGTACGGTACATGGCATACAGCACAAGTGGTTTGCAATCAGCTGCTAGCTTGAAGGTGGGGGATTCGAACCTGGCGATTCCACAGAAGAAAAGCCTAGAAAACTGAATCCATAAAGATTACAGGCAAGAAAATTCTGCAGTACAATTCAACTCTGCAACACATGAGGTTGCCATGAGTTGGGGGCCAACTTGATAGTAGCTAACAAGAACAAAATTTTAGTATTTGTCAAATAAAATAAATATACCTACTCCTCACTTATCGACCATCTTGTTGCCCAACATTAAAAATTAATCTACTATAAATGTACTGGACAGCTCACCAAAAGGTCAGCAGTTCAAACCGACCAGCTGCTCCTCAGAAACCCTATACGGGGTCACTATAAGTTGGAATCCACAAGATGGCACTTAACAATAACAATACAAATCTGCAATGGTTAAAAAATCTACTATCTAACTATTTTGCGCATTAATTATATATGTCTAACAGTGATAGAACTAGTTAAATTTTGTACTTTCATTTTTATTGGACTGCTAGAGGAGCTCTGATAGCGTAGTGGTTACGAATCGGGCTGCTAATCTCACTGTCAGCAGTTTGAAACTACCAGCTGCTCCGCGGGAGAAAGATGAGGCTTTCTGCTCCGGTAAAGATTTACAGCCTCGGAAACCCTGTACAGGGTCGCTATGAGTCGGAACCGACTCCACAGCACATAACAACAACAACAACAGTGCCTATTTACAGAATGTACCGCCATCTGGAAAATACAAGTACCACTTACATTCTTTGCCTCTCAGCATTCTTGGGATACTTGTTGTTGTTGTTGTTATTGACTCATAGTGACCCTGTACAGGGTTTCCAAGACTGTACGTTTTTACGGGAGCAGAAAGCCTCATCTTTCTCCCATGTAACAGCTGGTAGTTTCAAACTGCTGATCTTAAGGTTCACAGCCCGATTCGTAACCACTACGCTACCAGAGCTACTGTTCCATTAATGGTCCATTGCTGCTGTCTGTACCATGCATAAAAAAAAATTAGGCCCATTTTCACACAATAACCTGGGGTCTGTGGAACCAAACCATGCTAAGTGAGCAGTAGATATAAATACATTTGGAGCAGGACAAAAGATGACAGTACTGTAGACACAGGAAGAACACCATGTGACCCTGCAGGTGTAAACCAGGGAACTCACAGGGCCGCCAGAAGCTATGAGAGAATCATGGGACAGTCACCCTCAGAGACCTCAAGAGGAATTGACATTGCTCATATTTTGATTTGGACTTCTGGCCTGCAAAACTGTTGGACAATAGATTGCTATTCTTTAAAAAGCAAAAAAAAAAGATGACAATCTAAAGTGAATCTGTGGACCAGTCTGACCCACCAACAGCATTCAGAAAGTGGCCCTGTTCTCTAAACCGTATTGCCCTCAGCAGCAGCAGGATGGATACATTAGTAAATTTTGTCTGGGCATCTGTGTTTTGACTTTCCCTCTACACAAAAGGATAACGTCCAGGAAATTTCAGAGACAGGCAGGGATCCTGCAAATCACCATGAAACATACCCATAGTCCATCAATCCCTGAGGCCTACCTACTGAGGTGGTAGGGCTTTACCTGCCAGGAAGAATAAAGAGATCATGTTACTGGCACCTGTCAGCACCAGATGCCTTCTCAACTGACTTGACATACTTCCAAGGGAGCTGTCATGGTCTCATGAAAAAAAAGAATAATCATCTTCCTGCTCCTGTTCCTATCAAAGATACTCTTAGCCCTGTCTTACACCCCCTGGTTCTCAACTCAAAAGAGGAAAGCACCTTGCTACCAGGCACAGCTCTCTGCACTCACCTTTCTTTGCTCCTAAAAGCAATGGTTCCCCTTTTTCTATTTAACTCACTGCTTCTTCTTTTGAGAGCAGAATTTTACTACCCTTGGAAAGACTTAACTACTCTTGAAACTTTCCCCAACTCAGTTTGTGTTAACTGAGCTGATGTCAGAATTCCCTTATGGTTCTTGATTCAGGGATGACTCGACATGTAGGAGAATAACCAGACCATTCAGTGAACCTAACCAAGTCCATTCTGGTCACTCAGGACCCCTCTAGCTGAAAAGGACCTATCTTGGAATTTGATAGAAGAAAGATGAAGGGAGGGGAGGTCACAGGATGGAGTACAAGATTAAACAAAACAGAAGAAAAATACTGTTAACTGATGGTACATGGAGGGGACTGTAATCACTGAAATGAAATGAAGCATACGATTTCTTGAATGTAAAACTGACAATTTGTAAAACCTTCACTGAATTCAGAACAAAAAAGTTTAATTAAAAAAAAAAAAAATGCACCAATCCAGGAGAGACTCATCGAATGTCTGAGGGAACTCTGACACCTGTCATTTTAATAATTGTAACAATAATCAGTTTTTTCAATAAGCCAGTCTGGCATACCTGAGGATTGTAACAGGGAAAAAAATTTTGACCCATTGTTCATTCAATAGGCGCCCTGGTGGCACAGTAGTTAAAGCACCTGGATGCTAACCAAAAGGTCAGCAGCTTGAACTTACCAGCTATGGTGTGGCAGTCTGCTTCCATTAAGATCTCAGCCTTGGAAACCCAATGGGGTGATTCCACTATTTCCCTATAGGGTTATTATGAGTTGGAACAGACTGGATGGCAGCGGGTTTGGGTTTTAGTTTGGTTCTTCCAGTAAGACCTGGTTTGATCTGAATCTGGTTTGATTGGCGTGCCTTAAATTGTTTCCCGTTATCAAGGGGATAAAGGTCATTTGTTTTTTTCAGTTGTGCTTATCTTACCATGCCCGGTTCCATCCCATCCTCACCCCCCTGTACACACACGTAGGAGACAAAATAAAGGTCAGCAAACACTCTGTCTGAGTAGCTCAAAAGAAAACTGATCAGAGTCTTGGGAGAGAAATGAGAACTAAAAGGCAGCTGACAATCCCATGTTTCTAAAACGCCACATTCTAAGCTGAGGAACCATCAAAAAGCATTTGAATCATTTCCCAGAAGTGAGCAATAATCAGGACAGCTGCTTCCAGACCAGATGAAACTGGTGAGTCCACCCACTCATCAACGTCTGCCAACAAGAGACCTGGGACAGTGACATGAGACATTCCCACATTGGAGCCTGGAACTGCACCCTCAGAGCCCCCTGAGGGTTCACCCACCCTCCTCAATGAACAGGGACACACTGGTTCGTTTCAAAGTCTTTAGAGGCCCAAAGCCGCAAGTCTGTAGATAATGACCAAGTAGTAGTCCCAGTAATTTCAGGCTAAGAAACTACTAGACAGCACCATCTCCAGGTGGGGCTCTGCCCAGAGGCACATTGTCCCACCACATCACCAGCCTCCTCCGCTTGTATCTGGTCAATTTCCTCTTTTTATTTTTCCGCTCATCCTGCCCCCACCAGATAGGTCCTGATTTATTTCTCCATTCCCTAGATCTTCCCCATCTCCAGTCCTCAGCAGCACCCCAAAAGCCTGCCAGGGGAACCGCAAGGTGAAGTTTCTTTCTACTACCTCTCTCCCTCTGGCTGTGCGAAGTTTATTCCCCAGGGTGGGCCCCCAGAATCCCACCCTCACTGAAGCCCCCTCTTCGGCGGTCCCCTGCTCTCATCTCACCCCCTGGGGGTCCTTGACGAAATAGCTTCCGCTGGAGCCCTGGTAGATGCGCTCCGGAAAGATGCCGCGCTCGATGGCCAGCTCGGCCTGCTGCACCATGATCTCGAACTCGGGGTCCTCCGGGAACTCATTGCGCTCGCGGTGGGCCTGAGCGGCGTGCGCTGCCGCCGCGGCCTGAGCGGCCAGAGCTTGGGCCTGCGCCGCCACGGTTTGGGTCTGGCCCTGGGCCGCCGCGCACCGGGCCCGATCGAGCAGAGGCTGCCGCTCTCGGTCGTGGCCCGGGGAACCAGGCGGAGAGGGGGCCGAGCCGGCCGCAGCCGCCACTCGGACCGCGCCCCCCGGCACCTGAGGAAAGTGAGCGCCCGAGCCCGACGGGAAGGTGTAGTCCGGGGGTTGGGCCCGCTCGGGGGACACCAGTGGGCTCGTCTCGTCCATCCCTCAGGCCGCGGGCTCCGGGACCCGGCGAGCTCACACAGCTGAGCTCGTGGCCGGGGCCAATCCGCGACACCCCCCACCCCCCATCTGGCCAACCAGGTCTCCGGGCCTCCTTGGCCCCGCCCCTACCCTCCCTGTTTACTTGGCGACGAGTAGGCACGACGGCTGGTAGCCAATCAGAACCAGCTCCTACGCAATCATTCCCTCCGCAAATTTCTACCGTCACGGTCAGTGAAGACTGCGCATGCTCAAAGAGCCAAACCAGTGCTAGACACGCCCTCTGACCACTACCGTTCCTGTCCCGCCCTTAGCTTCCAATTGGCTGACCCATGGGTGCTTTCGCAAAAGTAACCTATATTTCCCTAAAGAGGACAAATAGCCCCAAACACAGGAAAGGATGCTCAGCGACATTAGTCACCAGAGAGCTGCAAATCAAAATCACAATGAAATACCATTTCACTCCCACTGGAATGACTAAGATAAAAAATAAAAACGGAAAATAACAAATATTCGCAAGGATGTGGAGAAATTGGGAACCTTTTTCGTTGTTGGTCAGGAGCTCTGGTAGCGTAGTGGTTACTGATCAGGCTGCGAACCTTAAAGTCAGCAGTTCGAAACTACCAGCTGTTCCGCGGGAGAAAGATGAGGCTTTCTGATGAGGCTTTCTGCTCCCGTAAAGAAACCCTGTACAGGGTCGCTATGAGTCTCGGAAACCCTGTACAGGGTCGCTATGAGTCTCGGAAACCCTGTACAGGGTCGCTATGAGTCTCGGA